CAACCCCCAACCCCCCAAACCCTTACTTTTCCCCTCGGACAAATGCAATTGCGGGCAGTGCAGGAGGATTTAATGGGGCTGGGATGATGGGGGGTGGTAACAAATGGACTTAATTACGTGCGCGGAAATCAAGCATTTTCTACAAATTTACGCTCTGCCACGCCCATGACCGGTTGCGCAACCACCTCCGCCTCCGCATCCGCATCCGCCCCCGAATGCGGTTTACAATTCTCTTTTCTCGCCATTTCGGTTTGTTTGTATTTCAAATTAATCATACGCCCTGGTCCACGCAGCTGACGAACACCGACCGGGTGTTAAATGCGGCAAAATAAATCTGATCGGTTCCCAGATTGACTTTCCAAGTTTGATTGAGAATTCGCAGAGAATTTCACTTTAGCCTTCGAGGAATATCATTTCAGTTGCGTTAAGCAGCTGCATTATTTCGCGAATAAGCAGTTAATGGAGTTACAATTTCTTTCAGAGCACATATAGGTAAATAATAATTACAAAGTGCCGTGCCGCTTTAATGAATAACCATTAAATGCAATCCGCCTGAGAGTTCGCATTTGTGGAACACTATTCCTCGGAAAATCTCTGCGAACACTCCATATCACTTGACCCTTCACATAGGCCCCTGACAGCTCCGCCCCGTGCTTTTGCGTGTGTGTGGAGTTGTAAATGATCCAGACAACTGCCAATTTGCGCATCAATTGTTGAATAAAACATGATAATCATAATAAACCTGGTCGGAAGGGGAGGCCGGCTCGAATAAAAAACACGCGTATGTACGCGCACATATAAAATAAATAAATTGCGAGGAAAATAAAATAGTAGACGATGGTCAGTGGTCTGGCACTGAGACCAGTCGTCATGCATAAATGAAATGTGAATCAAAGCGATACCCAATTGAAATGGCCAATGGCCAATGGCCAATGACCAAAGCCAATCTAGGATGGGACCAGGTTGGTTTGGTCTGCTTTATAAAATTAAGGATCGCGATGCAGGGGCTGTCCTTTGAACGGCACTGCCATGTGCAAATAAATAATTGTAATTGAAGGCAATTATTGCTGTTCGATTGGAAATAAAGTTTTGCTTTGGGGTGGAGGGAGAATACCAAAGTGTTAAAGCGTTTACCATCAGTGTCTAAATTGGTGTTTGATATCGATCAATTATTGCCCCTAATTTACAGTGGCACAATATTAAAAACTCATGACTTTAAGTTAGTATGCTTCCTTATGCTTCATAATTATGCTCTAAATTAATAGAGAGGTAATCAATTTGTGCTCAATTTGTAATAATAATTTAATAATACGTTTTACAAGTCATTTGTCCAGTTACGAGAGAAATTATAGTTGTTATTGATATAACACAGCACTCAAAATCGATAAGCACTTTCTTTTACTGGCGATTCCCGCTTACATTTCAATAAACCGGAAATAAAATAGACGCGGAGCTCATTTTGATAAATCGCTGGAAAAGTGATATTCCCTCCAGCCATGAACACATTTCTACTAATACAGACACTCACCTACACACACACACACCCCCATCCTTACACGGGGCAAATGGCCGTATCCCTTACTATAAGCCACCTCTAACCTCCCAATTTCACCCGCTCTGCATCTATAATTTGAAAAGCAAACTCATAAATATTCAAAAAAGAAAAAGGCGGCACCGTCCATCGTCGCATTATTGTTGTGTGGTGTGTGCCTGTGAGTATCTATGTGTGTTTTATATGATTCGCCCACTATGAGCACGGACATTGGGCGGGGAAAGCAGCCACGCCCAGCCAAAAATGCGATTTTCTTTTTAATATAACCAAAGATGCCGAAAAGGAGAGGGAATAGATGGTCGGGGCTTTACACACGCATTTATTCTTGGTCCTAATAGTAAGTATAATGTTTTCATCAAACCAAATACTGAAAACTAAACTAAATATTTCTATATTAAACTGCTTTAAACAGTATGAAGGACTTAGGCTTAATTAATTGTAATACAATATCAATACCACAATATTGATTCATATCTTCCATGAGAATCGTTTTTTTTCTGCGTGCATGAGATGACGAGAGTCATTGTATGTGAGAGTGTGAGTGTGGGTGTGTGCGGGTGAGTGAGTGTTTATGTGTGTGCCTGGCTTTTTGAAAAGTCCGAACCATAAAATTGAATAAACCGCATTGAAGCACATTATTTTTTATTAACTGCAGGGTAACCCTCTAACGAAGGAGAGGGTCCTGCAGAGTGCTAAACCGAAATCCCGAGCAGGTTGTCCTTACGGTCATCGCCTTTGATCCCCTGCCCCCAGTGTCCTGGCACTCTGTCATGTCCTGTGCTTTTGACCGACGTTTGTCAAATAGTGCTTTGCAATTTACACACTCAAAAACTTTTGTTCGACGGGCGCATGGTTACGTAACGTTGCAAGACTCCCGGTTTGCGTTACCATTCTGGGCAGAACTTTTATGGGTGCATGGAAAAGTCAGAACAATAGCTAAAAAGCCTCTGAAGTACTAAAAACAAGCGCCTTTTTATTATTTTGAATACAACACTAATTTATTTATAAGTATATTTATCAGTTTTTATATTACATTAAAGTGATAATAAATTAACATTTCCCTTGATATCAGCACTCTTCCGTGATCTGATTGTCATGAAAATCAGTCACGCTGTCATCTCTTCTTTTTGGGTGCCCACTTTTGGGTATATATCAGCATTGGGTGCAGCGATTGCCGGTTATGGTCCCCAGGACCTATATCCTTTGTGTGCGTGTCTGTGAGACTGTCCCTCTCGAAGGAGTGTGTTCGTGTGTGTGCACTTGGCTTTCAAGCACCTTATTTATAAGCACTTTTAATGGAGTTGGCTTACGGAAAGCGCACAAGTGTGAGTATGCGGAGCCTGGCAGCATATTTCTTGTCTGTGTTCCTCCCTTTCTGTCCCCGGGTGTGTGTGCTTCAAAATCTGATTACGATTTTTATATGACACTTTGATATGATTTATTTGGTCATTCAGCTTTTCAAAGGCAGGCCTCCAAGCTGAGGCATTGCCTTTAACCCCTCGGTGGCCACGCCTCGCCGAAAGGGTGTCAATGGCTTTCAAAATATCTGCAGACCATTTCATTTTTGTTTTTACCCAACGATGAGCCAAAATAAAATTGAAGAGAAACACATGATACACTTCTATGAGCACAACATAGGTTGGCCCCATAAAAAGGATTTTTCAATAAAAATGTTCGAGGTTTGAATTTAATCCATTCAATTAGCAGTTGACTCGTTTAGTTATGATCCATTTATAGTACAGTACCTTATTAGAAATACAGTTCTGATTGTTTTACATCCTTACTGAATATATTATTTCCCTTCAAATGCCGAGCATTCCGGACTTAATTATACCCTTTGGAAGGGTACAAAAGGAATAATAAAAAGGATCCTGTCTGAAGGACCAGCTTCCTACTTGTGCTTATGGCCGGATAATGTGAGGCTTCAGCCAAGTTATTTGCAACTGCTTGTTGTTGTCGTTTTTGTTGGCGATGGCGATGGGCGGTGGGGTGTTAACGGGAACAGGGGTTAAGGGGCGGGGGTTGGCGGACCTCCTGTAATTGATGACCTTCGCGATACGTTGTCGTCATCCGTAGATCCTTTTTTGGCTCCTTCCTCGGGCTTCTTTTCGGTTGTTGGTTGTTATTTTTATGGCAGGGCACTAAAATTTTCTTTTTTAAATTGAATTTAATGAAAGGCGTGAGCAAAGAGAACGGAAAGTGGCAGGAAAGCCCACGGGGCACCATATTCAAATGGCATTTTCAAATAAATACGGTCGCACTGGCCGAGGGATTCTCTGAATCGCTTCAATGATGAATCGCCTATAAATATGGCAAGTAAATTTAGTTTTACGATTCTTAGGCTATGAAATTATTAATATACGATTTAAAGAATATGCTAGAAATAAGAACAGGATTTACGGCTAATAAAAATAAATTAAAGCTTTGGAATTTGCAATATTAAAATAACACGAGGCAAGGCATCAGTTAACTAAGAATTTGACATATATCTAGGAATTCGCATATGAGAAAGCCCTGGTAACCTCACAATCACTGCGCCATAAATCCTATTGTGTAAGCGAACTGCGGAAAAAAGTAAATGAATATAAATAAATAAAAAATAAATCGCCCGATGCAAAGTCCAAGTGCTTATCCTGGCCATTTTTATGGGCCCGCTTCAACTTTGTTTGCCGGCTGCTACATATACTTTTATTGCACAAAAAGATTTGCCCTGTTTGCCGCCTTTCCCCTCTAATGCCCCTAGTCCCTCATCCTGCATCGTTATAATAATTATTGCAGGTATTAAGTCAAGTAGCCGCAAAGAGCCCTCGTTACCCCAGGCTCATCCAATCAGCCCTTTGAAACGAGGCCCCATTCCCAGGGACATTTTTTTTGTTCGTGGTCACTTTTTCATTGCCCTTTTTTCAGGGCCTTGCATAGCAATAATTCCGCCTCTGCGCCACAGTAGAGCTTCAATAACTCAAACAAGCGTTTTTCGAAATAGCTTTTATAAGACAGTTTAATCATTAGTGGGAGCTGGCTTTAAGACGGCCCAAGTAAAAACATATCAATTATTTTATAAACTTTTTTTTTCAAACCTACCGCTAATTTATTTAGCAAGTTTCAGTTATGACAGCTCCGCTGTACTGGTTGGTATATATACTATATATGGGTAGAAACCGCAGCGATTCTCGCGCAACGCGGCTTTTTGCGGATCACGTTCATCTCCAGGGGACAAACTAAATTGTGTTTAATTAATTTTTTGTTGCATAATTCGGGGATTTTAGTTATACGCCGCTGCAAAATGGCAAAAATACCAAACAGTTTGCGGTTGTTGGTGCATCAATGAGAGCAACAAATGTACCGCACACGTGTACCATCAACACTCAGCTCAAACATTTTAGGGAGGGCAGCTACCAAAGTACTGTGATAGAAATAAATAAAAAAAAAATTTTTTTTTTAATTTGTTTAATTTTATACATTTTAATTGAAACTCGGTTACAGTGGTATTATATGTCTTGTGTACTAGCCACCCTTTCGCCTACTGCTACCGTGTTTCAACTGAGTGCACGTATTTTCGCCACTAAAGCAATTGAAATTCGTTAGCCTTCGGGCTCGACCCTTTGGTAATAGGTTTCTTGGGCAATCCGATCGCAGTACACAGGCAGGAATCATTCGATTGACTACATATCCTGGCTTGCAGACACAAGGACCTCCGCAGATCAGAATACAATTGGCCTGGCCATTGGAATCGCACGTTTCTGGACAAGCTGTGGGGCAGTCATCCGCCTGCGTTCCATTTATTGTGCAATCGATTTTCTCAGAGAAGCACTTTGCCGCCGAGCAACTGATCAGTACCACAAGAGTGAGTATATCCCACTTCCACATACTTTTTAAATAATAATACGGCCTCTAAATAAATGATATACCGAAGAAACACTGAATTTGTGCATATAACTTAGGTGACCGCTTTGTAATGCGAGGGAACAAATTTCATTAGATGCATTTGTTCCACAGCTCTAGTTTTAACGGAGCTGTCTATGCTTTTGACCAGATTCGATCAGTTAACAGGAAAACGATTGCGGCATCCACACTATTTACAAATTAGTGCTACAATCGGAAATTATGAAATATGCACCACTTACAAAGAAAGTAACTTAACGTCTGTAAAACTAAATCGTTTCGCTTTCTATCTTCGCTCTTCTAAGAAAAGCAATTGTTTATAAAACGGAATTCAGCCTGGGATCTTTTTACTAACATCGTTACACATTTTTTATTATTACTTTTAATCTGCATTACTAGAAATATTTATATATATATGTACATATACATTCCTTCTAACCTTTTGAACAGCCCCCTGTGAAAACTTTTATTTATTTCAATTCGTACCGAATGCGACACATTTTTGTCGCTGAAAACTTTACCTCAACTTGGCGTTCTGTGAGTTTTCTTTAATAAAATTTCACTCAGTCTACTTGAATCTGCACTCGTTTTGTGGCCATGTGACACGCACACACAAACACACTGAAGCAGAAACCAACACAAATGCAGACAAATATCTTGCAATGTTGGCGGCTGCAGACTGTCATTTGTTTACTTGTGTAAACTTTAATTAAATTCCAAAAAGACGACGACAGCCGCAGCTGCTGCAGGAGTATCCTCCTCCTTGTACCCCATTAAAACCCCATTGCCCTCACCAACGCCAACGTGTTGCCATTGCACAATTTTAGGCCCACATTGCAGTTCAGTCTGCCAATTGCCATAATTATGAGCACTGGACTAACAAACTGCAACCTTGCACAAGAAACAAACTTTAGTTTAACGAAAGATATAAATGTTCGAATTTTTAGGATAATATACTCAAGTCCAGTCCCCACATTTAGTAACAAAACTTGGAGATTCAACTGTTACAAAAACTTAGTTAATCCATATAGGGCTATTTTTAGGATCATATGTATATCACTAATTTATTGAATAAATTGAAAAATGGATCTTACATTATCAGTGATTTTTTATTTCAGTGTACAAACAGCCATATCCATTCACTCCGTAAATGCAGCAAGTGCAAAAGCAGAAACCCAGCCACACAGCAACATCTGCCACTCCTGGCACTCCATGTCCAACGTATTGAAACAATTGTCGATGCATGTAAATTAACAACTTTGCTGAAAGCCTAATTTAGCAGTATAAGGCAATTAAATATTTTACGTTCATTCGCCGAAAATTTCAGCTGGAAAAGTGTGCAGTAAGCGAAGATAGTCATTAGTACAAATGTACAACATTTTAAGAGAACGTTACAGAGATGTAGTAAGCTCAGGCATATAATATAATATTTATCAACTCTCCAAAACTGCAGCTCCATAAAGTTGCAAGCTAATTACTACGCTTAAAAATCCCTGCTGAATGGGAACCCTTTTCTGAAGTCATTTTAAATACATTTTTTGGAGCAGCTGTAGCGTTAATAAAGTGTTGGACAAAGGACAAAAAGTTTGCTTCCTGGCTAGACATAATTCTAGGGCTCTTTGCGCTTGTGAGGATGTGGATGTGGATCTGGATGCAAACCCACACTGCCTGCTAAAAAGAGCGGAAGAAAGTCCGGCCAACACTGGCCGCTGTTGGCAACCCTGGAAAACATTGTCCAGCACAAACCAAATGTAATTTGTCCAGAAAGAAACGGAAAATGCGACAAAGGGCGAAAACTTGTTGGTCTGCTCGCCCACCATCAACATTCTGTTACTGGAGGTCATTTTTGTGCATAGTTCATTACGATTGAACTGCCACAAAGGTCTCTAGTTCCCCAAACATGTGAGAGGGAAAGGTAGCTCAAAGAAAAAGGGACGGGAGCAGGGCCGGAGAAAGAGACGGCACGCGACTATGCGACTTGGTAGTGCGAAAGCTTTTCAATTCAGCACACTTATTTGGGCTATTTTAATTGGGATGTCTAACGCCCTATTAGGTAATTTACACCAAAACCTGAAACCTGTTCTATTATATTCACTAAATTTTTATTTTATAATTTATGCGTGTGGTAATTCTCAGATTCCAAAGCGCATCTAGGATTTCTTGGCTTTGTTAAAATAATTATTTATTGTCATGGAAACATAATTTACAAGGCACAGTCATTTAAATTAGAATTCCAACAATTTATACCTTGCGTATGAGTTAATATAATTCCCAGGCTTAGACTGAATCCGACTAAACGCGATATAAATAAATATAAATTGAAAACAAAATAGAAGGACTGCTATTTTATTTTTTAGTGTAAAAGTCTATCAATATTTAAAACATACTTTTACCGCCTCATCTAGAGTCCGATGTTGGCAATGCCAAATGTCATAAAGTTGCATCTTCCACTGGCCACGCCTCCCATTTCCCTCCTTTTTCCGACCTCCTTTCCAACGGCCAGTAACCTCCGTCAACCTGATTAGTTTGCCCGAAAATGAGGGGAGTGGGTGACTGCGGCTCCTGTTGCTTCGGTGTTGTCCATTGTGTTCGTCGACTTTCTTTTGGGCCATAAACTCTAAACTTGGAAATGCTGGCTAAGGTCGACATTGGTGATTCCACTTCCTGGCAGCCACACAATGCCCGGTGTGTGCCCATTACGCCCACTTTTGCGGGGTTTCCCTGGGCTGTTGTTGCTACCATTTTGACCGTTAAATGTTGACATTTGTGCATTTCATTGTATGACCTTATGGGCGCACAACAGCAGCCACTGCTGCGGAAATGTTGCACATGGAAAATTATTCTGCAAGAAATAATAAAAATAAAAAGTAGTACAAATATCATTGCAATAATATAATACATAGATGTACTTAATACATAAATACTTAAAGAATTGGAAATAGACTTAAAAAAAAATCAGATTCGGTCTGATTTCTCCCAGTGTGCCGACACGGGCTCAGCTGGAGCAGCTGAAGAAGATGCAAAAGGGGCAGAATGTGGAGCACAAGTCTGCATAGGATGCCACTTCCCCACTATTGTCGTCGCTTGTCTACTCATAAACTAAATGTAAATTCCACCCCTCGGTGCCAACGTGCCACCACTTTTATTGCAGTGTTTCGCTGTCACAGCGGAGGAGATATGTCGCCCCTTAACCCACTGATGCCTCCCTCTACCAGCTCCACCCCAGCTATATCCTTGGCTCCATGTGTGGCTCCTCGCATTGTTCTCGTTGTTTTTGTCAACAGGCTGCAGTGCAGCAGGAACAACTCGCCGCCTTTGACTTTATTGTCCTCCGTCTCAAAGTCCGACTATCCCACAGTCTGACTGTCTGACTGTCTGCCTCGGATGCAGTGGCCATGATATTTGAATTTATAAATCTATAAAACTCCCGAGTGCGGGGAGGGGGCGGATGTGTGTCTGCACGGGGCTGAATTAGAAGGAAATGAGAGCTCGCTTTGTTCAAATGGAACTGGTTCAAAGCGAGGACACCCGAGGGAACCGTTAAACACTTAACGCGGAACAAAGGGATTCAATCAGTTAGTCGGTTTCTAAGCGGCAGTACCGGGTAAAAACTCCTGGCTTAAAATGATACACAAATATCTGATTAAGTTGGCCGAGACAACTGATGATTAGTGGGATCTATACAGTGAGCAAACAGTTTGAAACTATTTAGTGTTTGCTGTTTGTTCAGACAGTCTAGTAAGTGTTTTTACTATACTAATTTGAGAAACACATGAGTATCCGTTTTTTTCTCAATCTGTCCTTTTTTCAGAAAAATATTGGCATCCCTCATACAAAGTGCTACTAAATTAATCTCGAGCTGTAAGTAATTAAATAAAAATCTCTTATTTTGTCATAATTATATTAGTGAGTGAAATAGCGAGGTCTTTAAGTGAGTAGTAAAAATTGTCTTAAATAAAGCCTGAAGAATGTTTAACTTACTGTTGGAACACATAATTATCGCCGCTTTTTAATATTTGTCCAGGAAACATATTTTCTTGTACATATATATGTATATATGTATGTATGTATGTATGTATGTATGTATGTATGTATGTATGTATGTGTGTATGTATGTATGTATGTATATATGTATGCATGTGTTACTTGCACAAAGTAGTAAAAATTGTCTTAATTAAAGCCTGAAGAATGTTTAACTTACTGTCGGAACACATAATTATCGCCGCTTTTAATATTTGCTTAGGAAAAATATTTTCTTGTAGCCCTATAATTCCCAACTGGTTCTAGTGAGGACAGTAAGGCATGTCTTCTAATTTAGAGTCGGAAAATAGTTCAAGTCATCTCTCTTACCGGTCGAGCAGTGAGTGTAGTGTGTGTGTAGTGTATGTACCGATGTATGTACCGGCGTATGTACGTATGTACCGGTGTATGTAAGTATGTACCTGTGTATGTAAGTATGTACCGGTGTATGTATGTAGGTATGTACATATGTATGTATGTATGTACATATGTATGTATGTATATATGTATGTATGTATGTATGTATGTATGTATGTATGTATGTATGTATGTATGTATGTATGTATGTATGTATGTATGTATGTATGTATGTATGTATGTACATATGTATGTACATATGTATGTATGTATGTATGTATGTATGTATGTATGTATGTATGTATGTATGTATGTATGTATGTATGTATGTACATATGTATGTATGTATGTATGTATGTATGTAATATGTATGTATGTATGTATGCATGTATGTACTGTATGTGTTACTTGCACGAAGTAGTAAAAATTGTTTTTATTTGACTTCTTCACAGTGTCAATAATTCCATGGGTCACGGAGTATGCACCACGTCATTATACCCTATTGCCATACATGTATTTATCTATACTATTCCCAGGGATTTCCCGCTGCAGTCATTGTCTGTCGACCAACTACTTTACAGCTGTCAGATTACGAGGGGTTGGAGATAAACTGGGTTCTCAAGGGGAGCTGG